TTACCATTTTTGGGCCAAGTACCAGATTCTCGTGCCTTATGCGCTGACCATATGGACGGGGACAGAACATGCCGTGTATGAGCCATCTGATGGGGAGAAGAGAAAGGGCGGCGCTAATAAAGGTGTTCTTCGTCTTCAGCTTCCTTCTACGTCCTTCTCAAATATACTGAGGTATTTTTGACCCTAACTGTTCCTTTTCAAGGATTGTAAACAAGTTCACAATGAATCGTTGGCTGATTGCTTTGCTATTAGTGGTCCTCAACATTGAGATGTACGAATGCAATTGCTATGATAACTGGAGCCGCTGCACGCCTCAGACAAAGGTTTGTTCGCATTCCTCAGCATTTGCAAGCTTCAAGGAGTGTACATAGCTTCCATCTAATCTAACATCCTAACATATTATCAGCTTTTGTGGAAAGGTTCGTCGTAGAGGGGGTGGAGGTAGCAGACCACATTACGTTGGGGAATCCTCAGCTGGGAGTCTTATTCTGAAGCAAATTTCTCAAATTTAGCCGATTTTCCTTGTTTCAGGGACTCTATAAGGAAGGAGTGTATTTGTCCATGTTGGAGAGGGAGGTGGGGCGTATTCCCTTTCTGGGAGAATTTTACGGCGTTGGGAAAGACTTTTCCTGGCTGTACTCGGTTTCATATGTGCTACATACCCCTCTCCCCGCTAAAAAATGAAAATTGGAAAAAGTGTTAGGAAGTTGGGGGAATCTGGGGAAAAGGTAGGTAGGATGGGGACGGGGGAGGTGCTATCAGAGAGAATTAGGGGGAAGTCGTATTTTCCGAAAATTTTTCCCAACGGCACGTGCCCTGGGAGATGGTCTTATTCAGTCAACTATTAGCAATTTAGGAAATATAGTTTCGCCGGGGCCTCAATAAGTGAAGGGAGAGGTGGTTTTTAATGCATTTGTGTTACTATTTGGTTTGACAGAGCAATTAAAAGATCAATCAAGATCAATCAGTTCAAGATTGACATTTAAAAGAGCTGTTTTAGTTTGCAACGGGCATACTGTGGAAAGATTGTCCGGACTACTGCAAGAAATGCAAGGGTCAACCTAGCGGTCAATGTGTCCGTGTCACAACAAGTCTGTCAGCGGCGGTTACCAATGCCAGTCAGTTGTTCTTTTTGACTCTTCCTCATTTTATGAAGCACAGAAAGGCTTGCAGCGTATAAAGTAAAGAGGGCGTGGCCCGGGAGACGTGTAGGATTAGACGTCGTACTCAGTCCACCAATAGCAGAAGAGGGTGTGTATGAAACTGCGGAGAGGGCACTATTTTTGGAAAACCATTTGAGCTCCTACCTTCACATCAACGCTGTTCGGCTTAGAGGGAAATTTCCAGGGTTCATCTTGCTAGGTCCCGTTGCATAACACGCTCCCACAGATAGACGTGCAGACTCTGAAGGGTAGAAGAAGCTTATGCTAATGCGAAGCTTTACAGGAATGTGCAGGTGGAATGTGCAGGTATCTACAGGAGGCATCGGCACTGATAGACCAGAACCATCAAAATGCCCTCCCCCCTCATCAGGATAGCATTTCGAATGTTTCAATCACTGAAAAAGATATTGTCAAGTTCCTTCTTGTTTCCTTGTAACTGTATGCCTATTTTTCAGCTGTTCTGGTCCAGTGGGGAAGAAATCAACGAATCCACTCGATATAGCCACATGCAAGCTTGGTCTATGAGCTATATGGTATGAGCATGGCTATAGTCAAGATGTGGAAGATTATCGGTCATGTTTGTCATGGGAAATACAAATAAATATTACCAGTCTTACCAAAAATTATGTGTGAGAAAAATGATTTGTTTTAAACTTCACGCAGGATTTCAGCTTGTTCTCTTAATAGTACGATGGCATCGCCATCAAAGGCCGATGATGGTGCATGTTACGCTGCTTTTATGCTTTGCGGCAGCGTCCACGCGCGACGAATAGCGTCAACCAACGTACCGAGCGCCCGGCAGCGTTAGCGACTACGGAAGTATGGATATCGATCTAGCGTCTGCCACCACCTACCAACGTCTGCCAGCGTCTAATACCCTCCTATCGCACAGCACTCCCTACCAGCGGTCTGCTACCCTCCTATCGTTTCATTCTTCCACTCCAGGACGCTGCTGGTCGCTGGTGAACGCCAGATCAATAACTATACTTTCCTAGTCGCTGGCTTCCGGACGCTATCGATCCCAGGTGAGGCGCTGCCGTAAAGTATGAACACAGCATAAGCTCTGGCTAGGGGGAGAGATGCGGGGCGCTGCTCGAGTTCTCTTGGTCCCCAACTATATTGGCAGTAGGTTGGATGCCTGCACGATCTCAGAAAGTTCGAACTCGAGCTTGGCACCTCATAGCGACTGCACTGCCGACTACAGGGAAATGACTTTTCGTCCTCTCGTAGCCAGAAGTCTCGCTTCGTATAAGACCAGGTTCTCGTGTGTTGAAAGACCTACGAGGCTAGATCTTTGATACGAGGGTTCGAACCGGCGGTAGGCGCAGACCCCATATTGTTATCGCATCCCATTCCAGCGCACCAAAGGCGCTATTCAGCAGAATAGTGAATAGATTTTTCGAAATGGCAGATCGCAGACTAATTGTGGACTTTTCACTGTGATACATTTCCATAAAAAACCTCATTTCATTTGCGAAGGGATATCACTTCTCTGGCTATGAGTTGGCATTGTGCAGTAGCATAGTGGCTCCATACTTATGCAAAAATATGGTGACTTTTGATGCATAATGTCCGAGACGCAGAGGTGAACAAGCGGCAGATGTTCCTGGGCGTAAAGTGCAGAACGAACAATTTTCGATGCCAGGCTCTTTTTTTAACTTTGGTTATCTTTAGATGTGAGAAAAGAAGGTCTTGTAGGAGAATTTGGGATAAACGAAGGTAAAGTGCTTTCCAGAGAGATTCGCGATCGCAGGTACCGTTTTCTGGTATTGGCGTGTGCTAAGCGTGCCTGAAGTGCACATGGACGAAGGAGGAGCCAAGAGGATTTTTTCAAATCAAAAATCCGCACCTCTGGCCCAGAGATTTCAGGAATGGTGTAGCTTGATTTTGCCCAGGGACAAAGGATAAGAGCGCGTTCAGACTTCGCGATCGTGCGATTGGATCGCGCGATCGGATCGCGCTATTGGGATGGGTGAAATTCACAGCGGGGGGGGGGTTCATGTTTGTTCATGTTCATGTTTATGTTTACGTTGTTTGTTTTTTGTTCATTGTTCATGTTTAACGTTCCTCTTCTTTCTTTTCTCCTCGTTCTTCCTTTGCTTTCTGTTCATAACGCCGTTTGACTTAGCTCGTAAAGGTACGGTATTATGGTGGTGATTTACTCGAAAGGATTTCGACTTGTTGACCTTGCATTGTGTAGTAACGGTAGCCACACAATAAAAACGGTCTTCGCAGCACCTCTTTTCAAGTTTTTCATTTCATAAGGTTTGTCCTTTCCGGCGTGAAGTGTCAGTTTTAGTATAGCTGTTTTACTAAATGAGTGCTTATATTACTAGAATAATCAAACATTATTTTTTTTCAAATATTTTAGGGAACTGTTCCAAACATTAATGATATATTGGCGCATGTATTATGGAATCTCTTGTGATACAAAACCTCCTTTCATTCATAGTTCATTTATATTATGCAATATCAATAGGGTTTCAGAAACGTTTCGAAATTGCATTAGTTGTGTTCTTCTGCATTCCCTTTCATTTTTTTTCAGATTCCGGAATTTGGCAATCTCGTGGATGCTCGAGGTAACTTTTAGTTTTGTTCGACTGATGTAAGTTTCTCTTATGTCGTAGGGAATTTCT